CGAGTTCTCGAGTCCGCGACGCGCGTCGCGTCCATGCTTCGCGTCGCGTTCGCGCGCGTCGGACTCGGACGTCACACGGCGTCGCGCGCGCGATGGGCGTCGATCGACGCGCGCGATGCGGCGTCGAGGGCGACGACGAGGACGTTTGGAGGCTTGGACGCGTTGCGGTTGAGGTTCTTTGCGTCGCGGATTCTACGCGACGTCGCCCCGGGTTCGACGATTCGAGTGGAGAGCGCGATGGATGACGTCACGGTGGAGGTGGTGCCGGCGACCGCGCCCGGGGAGGAGATGGAGGTGGAGGTGACGATGAAGGATGGACACGGTTCGGCGGCGGACGCGGGCGCGCGGGCGGAGGGCGTCGGTGATCTGGGCGACGGATTCTCAATTTTATAGCCATTAAATGAGTGAGGATACCGATACAAACGACCAGTAAAGCATCCGCGCGCGCGCGCTCGAGTGAACGACGCCGACTCAGCGCGCGCGGCGAGACGCGCGCGACACTCTTCGACGCGCCGCGATCTCCATGCGCGCCCGCGCCTCGCGCGCGCGTCCGTCGGTATCCAATCGACGCATGCGTATCGATCAGAGCGTCGCGCGTCGCGTACAACGGAGACACGGATTCGAAATCCGATCGGTTCGGATCAACACGCTCGCGCAATCCGCCAACTCAACGGCGTTTAAGACGACGTTACACGCCTCGAGCGGACGCGTCGTTCGCGTCGAGCGCACCTTGGACCCATCGAGATCGGTCTACGTCCTGAGATTTACCTTGGATCGCGATGTCGACGGGGAAGCGGTCGTGAGGGGTCGAAACGCGGCGCGCGTGCACTTCGGTTTGACGCGGGAGAGCGCGCGGGAGTGGATGTGCTTGGAAGACGCCCCAATCGACTCGGAGTACGACGAAGAGACGAACGCGACGAGAGTAAAATTTGATGAGGAAACGAGCGCGTGCACGATCGAGATACCGGAGTACGCCGCACCGGCGAGCGCGCAGTTCGTGTTGTGGGACGCGGAGCGGGACGCGTACGACGAACCGTCGGGATCGAGCGCGAGCGGGGGCGCGTTCAGCGTGCCGGTCGGGTACGGGTACGGACACGCGAGAGAGTTAGGGGCGAGCGTGTCGTCGTACGACGCGATTGCGAAGACGGGAGAGTTTAATATCGCAGTGTTGTCGCGCAAAGCCGAGGCGTGCGCACTCGTGTTACAATACGGCGAAAACACGATGGAGTTGGCGCTGAATCCGTCCTCGCATCGAACAGGGAACGTTTGGCACGTGAGCGTGCCGTTTGGAGGGGCAAACGACGTCTTACACGCCCCGACGCGAGAGGATGACGTGACGTACGGGTTTCGGTTTGAGGGCGATCCCGAAGGTAGAGGCGGGTCGAGATTTTTCCCGGCGCAAGTTCTCTTCGATCCGAGAGCGATCGAACTCAGGAAGCCTTTGAATGCGATGGAGGAACCGACGCCGACGCCGAGGTACATGGGTTCGCTCGCTGCGGTCTTGGAGCGGCGCGAGACCATGACGCGCGAGACGTCGTCGTCCGCGAACGCGCGCGATGACACGAGCAGCGTGACGCTGAACGTGGACGTGTCGACGCTCACGAGTGCGGGGACGCTGAACGCCGCGCTCGAGGAACTGTGCCGCTTACGATCGGTGATGCGATTCAACGCCGTGGCGCTCGCGCCTATTCAGGCGCGTTCGGCGGATGGGCGCGCCGACGCGCCGGTGAGCTTTTTCGCCATCGATCCGAGATTTGGCACTCGAGCGGATCTTCGAGCGTTTGTGAACAAAATGCGATCGTTCGGCGTCGAGGTGTGGATGCGCTTCGTGCTAACGCAAACGGGCGAGGGTACGGATGAGGCGCCGAGGAGCGAAAGTCTCCGCGGCGTCGACGCGGCGTCCTACTTTCAACTCGGCGAGAGCGGTGGGCTAGAACCGGCGGGGGTGCCAATGACGACGGCGTTGAATCCGTGCTCGGCGCCCACGATGGCGCTGCTCACGGACGCGCTAAGACAGTTTGCCTTGCACGACGGCGTCGCGAGTTTCATCATCGAAACCGGCGGAGGCGTCGTTCGAGGCCCGCTTGGTCGCTCACCGCTCTTGGAAAAGCTTTCACACGACGCCGTCATTGGAAACGCGCCAAAGAAGCTTTGGCTCACGCCCAGCACCGATGAGTGCGGGAAGATGCCGTCATGGGGGATCATCGGAGAGATCAACTCCAAGTACGCGCGAGTCGTCGAGCAATTTTTCGCCGGCACCCCTGGGGTACTTAACGACATGTCGCTCTGCCTGAACGGCTCGCCGGATATTTTCCGCGCAAACCGCGACGCGAGGCACGGGATGAACGCTATCGCGGCCAAGCCGCGGCTGGTGACTTCTCCGGCGGCCGCTGCGGATGACGCTACGGACCCCGTCGAGCGGGCCAAACTCGCGACACTCTTCACCTCCTCCGGAGGCGCTCTGATCGATTTCGACGCGCTCGATCCGGCGTTGCTCCCGTTTGTGGCGCAGCTCGCCGAGTTCAGGCACGAGTTCGAAGATGTCTTCGCGGCGGACGTATCTGTGGGATCCGTCCAATGGATTGAACCATACTCTGGCGGCGCGCCGAATTTCGCCGCCTCTGACGCCCCACCCGCGTTGGCGTGTCTCCGCCGCGATCTCACCGGCCTCACGGTGCGCGAGATCTGGATCGCGTACAACGGCACGAACACCGACGTCGCCGCCAAACTCCCGCAAGCGCCGAGCGGCACTTCCTGGACCCGTCGATTCGATACCTCGCTTCCACAAACCGAGCGCTTTATCGCCGCGCACGCGATGTCAGCCGTCGTCGTGAACAAACCAAGATCCGTCATCGCGTATGTTGCGACGACATCGACCGCGTAGAGCGATCGTAGACTGGAGACGCGTCGATTAGAGCTGTATTAATACACGCCGCCTCGCCCGCGAGAGAATATTTCCATCTTTCCCTACTCACCAACGCGCGCGTTCTTCACGCCGTTGTAAAAACCGCGCCGAACGGTACGGGGTTAATATCGCACCGTCCACGAAGCGCGTTAACTTGAACGGAGCGTCATCGCGTCGACGAGCGACGGATAATCGTCCGCCGCCACCGAAATCTGCGAAACGCAACGACCACGTTTCGTCTTCTTTCGTCTTCGTTAGGGCGTGAGAGACGTCATGAGCGGGATAACGATCGCTCATAGGGCGTCCTCGTTCAAATCTATCCCCTCGGTGGCGTCCATGGGGAATATGAGCGAGATCTCGTTCGCGAGTGCAGAGACGGCGGATGAACGAGACGCCGAGGAGATCAAAGATGCGGTTTCATCGATGTTGGCATCCGACAAGGCCATGTTCGTGAAAGAGCTCACGGAGGGGAAATTCGCGGCGACGGCGATCTGTCACGGGTTAGGGGACGTCGCGAGCGAAGTTCGAGAGGCGGCGTTGATGGTTGGCAGGGCGGCGCTGAGTGAAGTTGACGGCGACGGATCGAAGTACGTCGAGGCTCTGGAGGCGTATCTGCAGTCGCAGTGCGGTGGTGAGCCGGGTAGCCACGCCGAGGATAACACTAGGGGCGGTATAATCGCCCTGTACGGACACGCGGCTCAGGTGTTTTGCGACGATGAGGGTAAAGTGCGAGCCATAGAGAAAATCGTGTCGGCACTCTCTGGGGTCAAGGATAACGGCGCGTTCATCGGGGCTCGATCGATCGGGAACTTGGCGGCCGATGTGCGCGAGCGTGCGATTGAGATGTTGATCGGGTTCAAGGCGCTCGCGCTCGAGAGCGATGACGTGATCGAGCGCAGACGAGGGGCGGCAGCCATGGCGGGCGTCACCAAGGGTGTGGGCCTTGCGCCGCTCATTGCCTCGGATGTCATCGGCGCCGTGAAGCGAGCGATCGAGGATAAGAAGAATCCGATCGCGCGCGCAGGCGCATTGCTGACGTACGCGCATATGTGCAGAACCGCCGGTCGCGGTTTCGAGCCGTACGCGATCGGCGAGGCTCCGATGGTATTCACGCTTCAGGGTGACAGAAACAACGAGGTTCGCGAGGCGGCGCACTTGGCGCAAGCCGCCGTCGTCAAGGCTCTGCCGCTCACTGCGATGAAACTTTTGTCGCCCTCGCTCGTGGCAGGGATGCAGCACAAGGATTGGCAGAGCAAACTTGGCTCACTGCACATCATGGGCGACTTGGCGAACAGGGTGCCGCAGTCGTTCATGCGCACGCTCCCAGACATCTTCCCAACCTTTTTGGATTGCCTCTTCGACACCCATCCCAAGGTGTCGGCGCTCGCTGAGGAAATTTTACCGAGCATGTGCTCGTGCGTGAAGAACGCCGAGGTGTTGGGGATGCTCAATCTCATTCTGAGCGCCCTTCGTTCGCCGCAAAGCGAGACGGAGGTGTGCCTCGATAAGCTCATGGAGACGACGTTTGTGAACTCGATGGACGCGCCGTCTCTCGCCGTCGTTTTGCCCGTCATTTTACGTGGCTTGCGCGAGCGCACGAAAGAACTGAAGCAAAAGGCGGCGACGACGTTCGGGAACATTTGCGCCCTCGTGGATGATCCGCGCGATTTGATTGCCTTTATTCCCGTCTTGTTGCCAGAGTTGGAGAAAGCTGAGGAGCACTCGCACCCTGACCTACGCGAAGCGGCGACGCGAGCAAAGAATAGTTTGCTCAAGGGCATCGATGCGAGCTCGTCGGAGAAGCGCAAAGAGGCGGGTGAATTCGTGCAAGAGGCGATCGAGAGCAGTGGCGTGAGCGTGGACGCTGAGACGCAAGCGTACGCGGCCGCGCTCGGCGGTTGGGTCATGGATTCGGCGCCGATGCGAATTCCTCCCGCGATTTTGTCCAACGACATCAAGCGGGAGTTGACGCCGATTCTCGAGAGCTCGCTGGCGGATCAGCTCGATTTGATCGAAAAGGTTTCCAACACGTCGGTGATGCTCTACAAAGGTCTCGACGAAACCGCCATGCAGGATGAAAGCACTCACGACTACATCGTCGACCTTCAGGGCATCATCCTCGCCTTTGCGGGGCGTGTGTTGCTTCAACGCACGAACTTCACGCTCGAGCGTGGTCGCACGTACGGCATCGTTGGTCAAAACGGTACCGGTAAGACGACGCTGCTCAACCGCGTCGCCGCCAAGGATATCGCGGGCTTCCCAGCAGACGTCTCGGTGTACTACATTCAGCACGAAATCACGAGTGAAAAGGAGGAGACGATCGTCGATTTCATGGTTCAGATGGTTCCGGAAGGCGTCGCTCGAGAAACCATTGTGAGCACGCTCATGGAGGTCGGGTTCGACGACGAAAAGATGGCGGCGACGATCCAGTCTCTCTCGGGCGGTTGGCGCATGAAGCTCGCCATCGCGCGCGCAATGCTGTGGAATGCCGATGTGCTCTTACTCGACGAGCCGACCAACCACTTGGACACGAGCGCCATCGCGTGGCTCACGAATTACCTGAAGAGCTTGAAGAACACGACCATCTGCTTAGTATCACACGATTACGACTTCTTGGCCGACGTCCTCACGGACGTCATTCATCTCAGCGAAAAGACGCTGACGTATTATCCGATGGGGTTCCGCGACTTCCAGGCGCTCAAGCCGGAGATCGTCGCCGCTTTACCCTCGAACGATAATGCGATCGCCAAGCAAGCGAACATCGAGGGCGCCGCTGCGCCGACAGAGGCGAAGAAGGAATCCGGTTTCGCCATCGACCAGATTGGCGATGACCAGCCGTCGCACATCAAACCGATTCGATTCCCCGAACCCGGTGACTTAGAAGGCGTCAAGTCTCGCGCTAAGGTGGTGATGTACATGAGCAATGTATCCTTTGGCTATCCCGGTACGAGCAAAAAGATTCTCAACGGAGCCACAGTGAAGATCACGCAAAACTCCAGAGCGGCGCTCGTCGGCTTGAACGGCGCCGGCAAGACGACCCTCTTGAAATTGCTGATCGGTGAGTTGCAGACCGATGAGGGTGTCGGAGAAGTGTGGCGACACCACAACTTGCGTTTGTCGTACATTGCGCAGCACTCGATGCAGCATCTAGAGGATTCTCTGGAAAATACCCCGCTTGAGTATCTGCAGAACCGCTTTTACCAAGGTCGAGACAAAGAAGTTTCAAAGCGCGCGTCCCACAACTTATCCAAAGAAGAGCTTGCCGTGGCGCAGGAGCGTGGTAACATTCTCGATGTTGTCGGCAGACAGCAGCGCGGTAAGCACCTCTTCTACGAGGTTCGCCGATCTGGACGAGACGAAAGCGACACGGATTGGGAGATGATGAGTGCATTGGAACGCAAAGATCCGTATGTGATGAAAATGGTGCGTAACTTTGACGAAAAGCTCAAATCCATGCAATCCGGGATGGATCTCCGCCCGCTCACGAAGGAAGAGGTGCGCTTGCACCTCGAAAACTTTGGAATCGACCAAGATTTGGCCATGGGCAAGATAAAGCGCATGTCCGGCGGGCAAAAGAGCCGGCTCGTGCTCGCAGCGGCGATGTGGACGAATCCTCACATCATCGCGCTCGACGAACCGACGAACTATTTAGATAATGACACGTTAGCCGCGCTGACTAAGGCGCTAATTGATTTCAAGGGTGGTGTGATCACCATTTCGCACAACGAGCCGTTCGTGCACGCGGTGTGCGACGAGTTGTGGCGTGTTGGAGATGGCGTCGTCGTCACCGAAGGTGTCCCGGGCAAGGCGCCGAAGAAGCTCTCCGTGGCTGAGAAGCGCGCATTGAAAATGGGCCTCGACGGCGCAGAAGCAACGATGAAGGAGGCACAAAACAACAAGAAGTTGACCTCTAAGGAGAAAAAAGAAGCCGCGGCCAAGGCTAAGTCGGCCAAGGGACCGATCAAAGACCTTTACGGGCGAGGCCTCTAGAGTTGTGAGTAAAACGAAATTGAGCATACTATTCAGCCAGTCGCGTCAAGCCAAATGACCGAGTACGTTGTATTTGACGAGTGCACGCGTGAACAGCGCCATCTGAGCGACGCACACAACCGATTACTAGTGACTAAAATTCGCTACGCTCGCGCTAGACGCCGACCTCTTTCTCGACAAAGTCGAGAATATCCTCCGACGTGATGTTATCCTGGATGCTCTTCCACGTCTTTTCATACACTGTGATGAAGTTTGGGGTCTCCTTATCCGCCCGTGTACGCATGTACACCCACGTGTTCGCGTTCATATCCCAAGAACACTCAACGATTTTCCCATCCAGGCTCTCGAGCGAGTCGGTACGTGTGACGAAGTCATCCTCAAGCCTCGCGAATTGATCTCTTCCTTTCGCACCCACGAAGAGCAACCCCTTCCCGTGTGCGACACGCAGGAGGAAATCTACCGAGTTTAGCTCGGGAAATTTCCATTTCAGAAGCGACTCATACGTCAGCGGCATATACGCGGTGTTGGAGGGTTGAAAAATCAACCCGTCGCTCTCGTGACAGAGTTGAGGGATGAACTTTTCGATAAATGTGCGCGCGTGCTTGAGCGGAAAGAAATCCTTCGTGCGCACCGAGAAGGGCTCCTTGTGCGCTGCGTACGCCCCACTCGGCGCCGTGCTCGCGAGAAACTTCTTCCTCGGCTCCACGACGAACTCTCGAACAATATTTAATCGCTCGAGAAACGGTCGATTCGCAACGCGTTCGCCGTTTACCGCCATCAAATCGTACGCCAAGTACCGACGCGTCTGCTTCTTTGTCTCCGGATCCGTGTCCACCACCATCTCCCCATCCATGAGCGTACAGTGGTGGACCGACATGCCAAATTTTTTGTGAGGCAATGGAAAACGCATCTGCACCCGCCGCACGGAAAATTTCCTATCGATCAAGTACGAACCATCACGCATGAGCAATAATAAATAACGCGTCCCGTCCGCCTTCCACGTCACGCTGTATGGCTCGCGCTTGAGCAGAGACATGTTATCACGACTCAAACTCACCGGCTGTGAACCAGGAAAGTTATCGGGTGAAATGTTCGAGTCATCACTCACACACGCCCACGAGCACAGCTTTCTAACCTCTGTGATCATCTCGTCGTACACCTCCTCACCAATGACGTCTTCGTGATGCAATGGTGCGCTTGCATCGATATCCGCTGTCGACGCGATCTCAAACGCGCGCTGCGACGCCCGTCGCGTCCCCGGAATCGGCGCCCGCGAGTGTGCGAGCGTCTTCTTGTATGAAGTGTTCATAATCGGATCGAATAAATCCCCGGTTGGGACCTTTTCATCTGCCAACGGTGGCGCGTCGCTCAAATCGTCGCTCTTCCAACTCGGCCTCTTCGGATCCTTCGTCGTGCTAAATCGCCGCTCGAGGTAATAATCGAACAACGACTCCAAGTAGTCGCTCTTGTAAATTCCCGGCGGACGCACTCTGGCGAACTCGGTGATCCATTTGTTCAACTCGGGCCACGCGAACGCGCGTTGACAATAGTGCGCCAACATCGCCCCCGTGCGATTGAACCCGTGCGTGCAGTGCACCAACACCACTGGCTGCGCCCCAGTCTCCTTAATCCTTGCCTGCCAACCCGGATCGCTCGCGATCGCCGCCATCGTCCGCTTCACGACGTATAAAAACTCTGAAACTTCCCGCGCATCCGGCGCGCCGTCACGACCGCCGCACCGAATCTTCCTCACGGCGATCCCGTACTTTTCAAAGCTCGAGACGTCGTAATATCTCGACGTATTCGTGAGATCAATCACGAGACACACGTCCCGTCCCTTCGACGCAGCCAGGGCGATCGCGTCGTCGGGCGTATACTTGTCCTGGTCTGGAACATTTGAATTTTGATAAAACGCGTCTCTCAACGGCGTTTTCGACGCCAAGAAGGACCCGGCGAAGACGTCAGACATCCTGGGGCACTGAAGCCATCCTTCTGGGAGGTCCCACGCGCCTCGCGACGTGGACGGGGTCGACATCGAGGCGACGCTTCGTGCCGAGGTGTGACGCGCGGCCGTCGCCTTGACATTGGACGCGGGACGTCGAACGTCGTGGACGCGCGCGCGCGGCGTGTCCGCGCTCGATTTCACGCGCATCGGCGCGCATAATTTTTCTCGATCGTTCTTGACGCTCGCGTCGGCGATCGCGATCGATCGGAGATGGATGCGCGCGTCGGCGGCGCGAGGCCGCCGACGGAAGCGCGCGCATCGCACCACACACATCGACGCTCAGCGCTCGATGGGCTTCACCTTTGCGCTCGACGACGCGTCGAGCGGTTCTAAATTACGTTTAGGACGCATCGAATCCGACGACGTGGAGATGTGCACCCCGGGCGCGCTCGCGGTGACGTCGAGAGGTGAACCGGCAAATTTAACCTCGGACATTTTAAAACGCCTCGACGACGCCTTACGGGCGTGTTCGTCCACGAGCGCGGTCGAAAAGGATCCACGAACCGTTTTCTTTGGGTACGCGCAGTGCGCGTCGCACGCGGTGACGGATGCGCGAAAGGATGGTGAGCGCAAGCGGGAGTCGGACGCGCGCGCGGACGGAGCGCGAACGCGCGCGGGTTCGCGTCCGGCGGTCGCGAATTATCGAGATCCGACATCGTTCGGCGTGGATGTTCGAGAACGGAGTAAGGATCTGGCGATTGCGTGCGAGACGTCGAGCGGGAGACGATGGATGACGTGCGAGGCGCACGCGCTGCACGCGAGACGGTTGGGCGCTGGATGTCGTGTCGCGCTCGCAGATGAACACGCGGGCTGGTCGAGCGAGAGCAAGGCGAGGGAGTGCGCGCAGAGGACTTTTGAGATATTGGAGGAGAGCGTGAACGGGGCTTTGGTCGGGGAGAAGATTTTCGCCTCACTCACCGGGGGTGAACACGTCGGCGTGCGCGAACGATTGGGCGAGCGCGTGCGAGCGTTCGTAGATTCGAATTTAAAAGCGCGCGAGGTCGTCGCAGGGTACGCATTGAGTGGATTCTACGCCGGAGAAGACCCATCCACACGCGAGCGGTGCGTCAAGGCATCGCTCGCGCACGTGGAGAGCGATGTGAAGAAGGTACGATACCTCCCAGGCGCGACGACGATTGAGGACGTCGTCGATAACATCGAGCGAGGCGTGGACATTTTCGATGCCACGTGGGCGAGCGAGACCGCCGCGCGCGGGCGGGCGTTTTGCTTTCCCATCGACGCCTCCGACGTAGACACGATCGCGATCGTCGACGCCGGCGCGTCGTCTCGAGCGATGACGGGAAACGACGCGTACTCGCTCAATCTTTGGGCCGTCGCCCACAAGACGGATTTCGTCCCGTTTCTCCCGAAAAGCTCATGCGCGTGCCCGGCGTGCAAAGATCACACCAGGGCGTACGTCCATCATCTCCTGCAATCGCACGAGATGACCGCGGACGTTTTGCTCGAGGCGCACAACCTGTATCGCCTGTGTGCGTTTTTCGCCGCCGCGCGGAACGCAATGCGCGACAGCCGCTGGGATGAATTCGCTCGGTTTCACCGGGAATACGCCAAGAAAGCGCGAGCACCACCGAATGATGATTAGCGACGGACCGAAGACGAACTCATCGTAGCAAGAGCAAAAATCACGCTGTCCCGCACGACAGCTTTTGCTCGATCGCCTGACGCGGAGTTCTCGAACGCGCGAACTTCTTAATTCGAATAATCTCATCATTATTAGGAATTAAAAAAACGATGATAGGCTTAAAAAGCCCACAATGGGGGTATCGCGGAATCGAACCGCGGACCACTCCCAAGTTAAATCACCTTCGGGAACTGCGCTCGGAGTGACTCGAGCTAGAGTCTCTGAAACCGTATTTTGATGAATACAGCCCTAAGAGAGTATCATACCACTAGACCAATACCCCATGCGTATTGTATACGAGGCAACGCCATTAAATGTGAAAAGCTCGGGGCTAAACTAGGAACAATAGCTGCCGAAAATGTTATGGGTATTTTCTCAGCAGCATTATTTGCGCAGAGACAGAGTTACGACGTTACGACGCGAGCGTCGATCGCGAGCGCAACGGATCCGCGGAGGTCTAGCGATCTAACAAGACGTACTACATGGGGTGACGTGAGAGGTCAAGATGTCTAGATGTCGCTCGCGTTCGCGCTCGACTTTCGGTGGAACGTCGCAACGACTTCGATCCAACGCGCGCTCGTTGGCGCGTGGTCGAAAACCGCGAGCGTTCGCATCTCGTACCCGCGAGCCTCGAACCCGTGTTCGGGGTCGTCCACGTCGCGTCGTAAGCTCGAGTGATCGCACGCGACGTACACGACGACGTCGAATGCGCTGGCGGTGACGAAATCCAACGTCCGCGCATCCAAGCCCGCGCGCGGAGGATCAACGAGCAGCGCGACGCGCCCAGCCTCGCCCGAGATCGCGCGAGCATCTTCCGAGCGTACCCACTCTTCTGCGGGCATACACACGACTCGGGCGAAGTTCTCGCTCAGACCGTTGAGGGCGAAATTCTCGCGCGCCGCCTCGACGAGGTTGGCGTCGACCTCCACTGCATACGCGCCGCGTTTCGCAAAGTATGGCGCCACGCATACCGTGTGATTCCCACACCCCGCATAGAGCTCCACGAATGTGTATTCTTCGTCCTCGCTCGAGCGCGTCAACGCGTCGAAATAATCGCACAGATGTATCGCCGTCTGTTCAGCGACGTCGCCGTTCGGATTACTAAATGAACCCTCTCGATGGATCAATCGAACAGTTCGCTCGTTCGGAAGCCCCATCTTCTCCACGACGTAATCTCTATCCCCGACCAAGGCGTTCGGCATCTTCTTCCGCTTACACACGACGCCGACCACGCGCTCGTCTCGCGCTCTAACCGTCTCCGCAAACGTCCGCCACTCGTCCTCATCCAACGTCTCCCTCGCGTGCGTCGACGCGAGCACAATCTCCGTCCCGTCCCGGATCGACAACACGTTCACCGCGCGTATACTCTCTCGTACGCTCGCCCACGGGCCACCGTCGAGCCTTAAGATTTCCGCAAACGCGGAAGCGCCGTCCCGCACGCCCGGGACGCCATCGAGCGCGAGCTCGTCCTCTTCCGCGTCCCCGCGCTCGGATATCCGCGCCAAACGGGGCGTACCATCCAAATCATCGCGAATGATCCCAAACGCGACGCGCGATCGGAACGCACTCGTTCTCGGCGGCGCGTGTTCGACGAGCATCGTGGCGCCAGAAGTGAGCTCGCGCGCAAAGAGAAGCTCCACCGCGCGTTTCTTGGACGCGAACGCGCTCGCGGCGACGACGTGATGACGCGAGCGGTCACGTACGAAGTGCCGACGCGCGCGCGCGCGCGTCACGACGGACGTCGTCGCGCGAGTCATGGCGCGCTCTGCGGTCGTGACGAGCTCGCTCGGAAGAAGAGTGCCTCGAAGTCCGACATCGCTCAGTTCTCGATGAAATCTGTTTTCGAGCTTTCTTCCGTGATGATTACCCGATATGCATGAGCGATCGTCACGTCGACGCTCGCGTTCGAGCCAACTCGTCCTCGGCTCTGGAAAGGCGCGCACGGAGCTCGCGCGTCTCCACGACAAGCTCTTTGATGATCGAAGCGAGTTCGCTCGCGGTAGCAGCGTCGACGGTCGGTGCGCTCACTGTCGTCGTTGTCGTCGTCAGTCGGTCTACGTCGATGTATTCCGGAATGGTGACGTACGGCGGAGCGCTCACGTTGCGCTCGGTGACTTCGGCGGCGTCCAGCCCCGTGGACGAAGGAACAATCCTCGGACTCACGCGCGGCGACGCCGGCGGGGAGTGCGTGACTCTGGGTGAACGCCTCTTCTTCTCGTCACCGATCAACGCTTCGCGCGCCGCCATGGCTAACCGTTTCTCCTGTAAGATTGCTCGCTCTTCCTCCACCGCGAGCCGAATGCGCTCCTCTTCCTCTTCCTCCATCCGTCGCTCCAAATCCCTCGCGACGCGCTCACGCTCGCGTCGCTCTCGAACCTGTCTATCGAGATACGCCACGTATTCGCGTCGTCTTCTGTTCGCTTCCGCTCGCTCCCTCTCCCGCATCGCGTCTTCGTGCGCGGCTCTCGCGCGCGCTCGCGCGGCGTCCTCTCTCGAAGCCGCGCTTCGATCACGCTCAACAAATTCTCGCTCGAGCGCCACTTGCGCGTCCAGCGCTCTTCTATATACATTCGCCCGCTTCACGCGATCCCGACGCGCCCGTAAATTCTCCCCCTCGACGTCTCGAATGACCAACTCGGCGAGCGGCGCGCCGCCGCGCTCAGCACTGGACGCGCGTCGTGAGCTCGAACATTGAAGCTCGCCGAGATCGTCCATCGCGATCGGTGTCGGCATACCGGCCGGTCTAGTATTCATGCCGTCGATTCGTCCGCGCGTAACCGTCGTCACGCGCGTTCACGGCGTCGCGAGCGTCCACCTCGATGATTTCAAATTTGTTTGTTTTAACGTCAAAAATCAAATGTGAATCTCAACCCACCCAATCTCGACGCCCCAGCTCCTCGCGAAGACGCGATCGCGTCGACGCGAACGCCGCGGCCGAGCCCTCGAGCGCGCGCGCGCGACACCGCGCACGTCCTGAGCGTCGTAAAATGCCGACGCGCCGATCGTTTAACCGATTGTTCGTACTGTGTGTCATTCAGTAGGATCTTTTGGTGAAACCACCAGCCAACCAGCGCCCGACGCCCCGACGCGTCACCCCGTCGCGCATGGTCGTCCGCGCCGAAGCCGTGACGCTCGAGCGCGTTCTTCACGACGACGCGGGCGCGTGCGAGCGTCTGGTGCGCGTGAACGACGCGTCGTCGCGTTTCTTCTTGGCGTTGAGCGATCGCGGGCGATTGGTCGAGACGGTATGTTTCACCCCGTCGCGACGCGCGCCGGGCGCGGACGCGAGTGACACCGCGCGCGGTGGTGGCCTCGATGCCGTGCGTCGCGCGTACGACGTGCGCGGACGAGCGGACGACGAGCGAGGTGAGCGATCGTCTTCTCACGGATGGACGCGGAGACACGCGTCGTTTCACGGCGCGTCGCCCGCGGTCGACGCGTCTTCGTCGATCGATGGTGACGTGAGCATCGTGGCGCAGAGAGATGGGACCGTTTGTGCTTGGCGACGCGCGAAGACTGGGGATTGGGCGGTTTTGGGGGAGGCGGCGTACGCCGGGGCGGTGGCAAAGGCGGTCGAAGCGTTCGGAAAAGGCGACGCGTGGAGAGGCGACGTGACGCGCGTCGTCGCGTGTACGACGGATGGTGGTGATTCGGAGGGTAGAATATTCGCGGTGACGTTGAGTGAGGACGAGAGCGAGGCGGGAAAGACGTGGTTGGTCGTTCGGGAGGTTCGGGTGGATGTCGCGGCGAGCGGAGACGCAAAGTCCACCGAGGTCGCCGTGTCGGCGCGCTACGACGACGCGATCGATCTCGTGCAAGGGAATACTTCAGATGTGTTTTGGGTCGTTACGAGGTCTGGGGTGATGTATCGATGGAGCGTCACGAAGCTTCGCGCGACGGCGCGCGCGGATGTTGGAATGAAAATCGCCGAGCGTCTCGGTGCGCGAGACCAGAGCGTGGATCTCGTGACGTGCAGGTCGTTCCCCGACGGTGATTTGGTGTGCGTCGACGTGAAAACGCGCAGGGTGTTCGCGATTAAATCAACGGCGTCGGGTTCGATAACGTTCGACGAATTGAGCGTATTGGGTGCGGATTCATTCCGAGCGGGCGAACGCGTCGTCGCCGCGGCGAGACACGGGGCGTTTCTGTGGATCGTTGCCGTCTTTATCGCGACCGATTCAGAGTCTACGACGACGATGGCGATGATACGCGTATTCCACACGACGACAGGCGCGTGCGTCGCATCGGCGGAGGTTCCGTCGGCTCCCGGTTTGGCAGAATTCTCGTCAACCATTGAACTCGTCAACGCGGGATCTAGCGGGATGTATGTGCGGATGCCCGCGAGTGACGGTGGAAAGTCCGCCATTTTTCGGTGCGCAATTTCCATCCCGCGCTCTCTGGCGAACGCGATCCGTCCGATTCTGGACGATCCGACAGCTTTTGACGCGACGCTCGTCGACCGATCGCTTTCAGAGATTGAGACGTATGGTGCATCTGTCGAGGCGCTCGTGCGCGCGCTCGTGTTGGTGCGACGCGAATTAGCAAGCGAACCAGGCACGTTCAAAGTGCCTAGAGAGGCATCGACGGCGATGACTCAGAAACACGCGCGCGCTTCCTGCGCGCTCGCTCCGGCGCTTCTTCTGAAGGCGCAACTCACGGGACGGTTCGATGACGTCGCGAGCGCGAGATGGGCTTTCGCGGCAAAAGACTGTTTAGAAATGATGGAGAAGGCGAGCGCAAGCGGAGACTTGGGGGCGTTTTCACGTCTCGCGAGCGACAGCTTGACGCTCGCGCGAGACGCGTTGCTCGACGCGCAGCAGACAACAGCGGCAAGCGACACGAAAGGGAAAGATTCCAGTTCCGTCGAAACGAGCGACATGTCGTCGATGTATGCCACCGTGCGTGAGCTCGAATCTTTCCGGGGACGAGACGCGGCCTTACCGGCAGGCGCGTGGGCAGGTGCGCGAGCGCTCAAAGATTTCCAATCGGACACCATGCTCGAGCGGTTCATCGACGCGGTGTGGTGCGATGAGACCATGCGGTTTCCGACCGTGTGTGAGGATGCGAGTAAAATGGCGCGTGACATCGCGGACGCGGCGGCTTCTAAGCTCAGTCGCGCACGTGCGGAAGAGTCTTCTGGGACGTCCGCAATGTTCGCTCCATTTGAGGCGATGACTTTTCTGATGTATCGCATCGCGCCGCAGTGCGCCGTGGCGTTCATCGATGCGGTGGCGATTAAGACGAAACTTCCCAGGGTCGAGCTCGCGAAGCGCGCGTTGACGACGACGGAATCGCCCAAGGCGCATTTTGCGCGTTTTGGTGACAGCGTTGCGGCGGAGGCGCTCACGCGCGCCGTCGTGGAGACCCTATGCGCGGCTGATTTCGCGCGAACTGGTCTCTACGTCGCGCTCACCTTTGCAGGCGTCACGGAAAAGCGCTCTCGGTCGGAAGAAACCGCGTCGGGAAGACGTGGGAAGACGACGGCCGCGGGTTGGACGCTCGCGCACGACGTTCTCCGCGCCGAGCTTGATCGAAGACGAACCAACTCAGACGCGTCCGATATCCGACGCTTCGCCGTTGAGGCGTTCGACATCATGGGAAAACTATTCCGAACGTTGATCGAGGATTGGAACGAGATGCCGTTCGTGCAATCTCGCGAAGACGTCGACGTGGACGTCGCCGCCGAACTCATCTTGCGAGCTGCCGACGTCGTGCGTGAGGTCTACGAAGACGCCGATTCGATCGAAGAGCCGTTCACCTCGTCGTCCAGGATCCTCGACCTCGCTCACGACTACTCGATGACGATGACTGAGGCGTGCGTCGCCGCGGCCAGAGGTGAGACTCCACACGCCAACGTGGACTCGCTCGAGCGGCTCATCCGAGTCGCGAGCCGAACACTCGTGCGTGACCGAGCGACGACGTGAACACACGCTCGTCGCCTCACTGGCTCCTCTCGCGATGAAATAGATAGTAATAGTATTAGCGCGAGCGAAAAGACACCGCGAAACGCAAAGAATCGCTCGCGTTTCGTCTCGTCGTGCCGGCACCGCGAAAGCAGACGTCACATCATGACGCACTACGTCGTCCTCGAACTCCCGAAGCGCCTCCACCGCCGACGTCATTGACGCGTACAAGCGCCTTGCCCTTGTGCGGCACCCAGATCGTCCGAACGGGAGCGCGCGGGCGTTTCTCGAGCTCAAACGCGCGCGAGACGTCTTGAGCGACCGCGAGCTGCGAAAACTCTATGACGCCTCTCTGATCGCCCGCGCATCGCGGCCGACGTGCGAGACCGTAGACGCGAGCGACATGGAGATCGTGAGCGTGTCGTTCGACTCGCACGATCGAGGTGCGGGGATGGGAGCGTTCGATTGCGTGCGGAGGTCGTGTCAATGCGGCGACGCGTTTGAGATATCGAGTAGGGAGTTGGAGGCGCTTCGGAGGACGCACGACGAGTGCGTTTTGGAGTGCGGGGGGTGTTCTCTGCGAATCGCCGTGCGGTTAGCCCCGATCGGGGTCGAGCTGGGTGAGGACGTGTTAGAAGCGTGATCGAACCGCCCTCCGAACTAGAATAGCTATAGCGTGCGCACTAGAAATCAACCTACGACGACCTACGACGACCCGCGCTGGGCGTTTTCGTACTCCTCCAGTAACTCTCGATACACCACGAAGACACAAAACTTACACCTCGGTTCGCTGTGACAGCAATCCGTGTCGAGCGGTTCGCGTGGCTTCTCCGGCGCTCCGCGCGCGCACCGACAGAACCGTCTCCCGCACTCTGCGCACAGCGGCGGCGGGGGCAGGCGGTCATCCACGATGCCCTTCGCCAATTTCTTTCGTCGAATGGACTCGGCGACGACCGGGTTCGCGAGGTCGCGCTTCGGCTTGGTATTCGGTTTTTCAGTTTTTGGAAACTTCAAGTTTGATTCTTCGCTTGTCTCTTTCGTTGAAGCCGCGAACGCGCGATTCGCGGAGCCGGAGACGGTGCAAACGAGGGCGCGGTTACGCTCGACGCGCTCAGCGAGAGAGCGCGCGGTGCGAGCGAGCATGCCGCGTCAAGTAATGAGGAAAGTGCGTTTTGGACGAGCTTGACGAGTGGGACGCGCGGATGAAAGAGAAATGTACGAGCGCTTCGTGTAAATTAATCTAGAGTAACTATCGCGTATTGAAATCGTACGTTTTGACCGCCCCGTCATAGTCTAACGCCTGGCCGTCCCGACGCACGCGGAGGAAGGCGTCGAGAGCGGCGGTCGCTCTCGGCGGCCATCGATTGGCGACGACGTCGGTGGATTTGTAGAGTCTGCACGGCGTGTCGAGACCGGCGTCCTTGACACCGCCATCTAATTCGGCGACTATTTGATTCGTGGACTGTTTGAAGAGCTCGACACCGTACGCGATCGCGCCGTCGTCGCGAACGTCCTCGGCACTTCGCTTCGCGCCGAAACCTCTCCCGCTCTTGCACAGAAATGTCCACTGCGCCTCGGCCTCGTCAAAATCGCCTTCGGCCCATAAAAAGGCAGAAAGCGCTGCGCGTCCGTCCAAAAACTCCGGGTCTCTGCGCAAGACTTTTCGCAGTGTGCGCATGGCCAAGTCGGCGCGCTCGATTTGGAAAGCCGCGAGTGCGTAATTGGCCAACGCAATTTCGCGCATGTCCTCGTTGCGGCTCGCCTCCAAGTACGCCGACATTGCTTCGTCCCATCGACCAAGCGCACCGAGCGCGTTCCCGAGATTATTCAGCGCCAAGGCGTCCGGTCGATCACCGTCGTCGTCCACCGATTCCTGCAAGTCTTGAACCGCGCCTTCCCATTCAGAATATTGTAATCGAAGCGTCCCTCGATTACTCAGCGCCGCGCTTCTCGCCGGAGAGCCTCGAGGGGCGATTTCAATCGCGCGTGTCCATGCCTTTTCGGACTCCTCGTACGTCGGCGCTTGCATCGCGCGATTGAAGAGATCGTTCAACTCCTTGGCGACGTCTGTGTTTGTCGCCGCCTCACTCGAGTAGTCTGCAAACATTGTGGCGAAACCGCCAAAAATCACAAACGCGAGCGCGGTGCGACGCGAAGACACCGATGTGGGTCCTATCGCGATCTCAGCCTTCTCGGTGAGCTCGGAGGGGATGTCCTCGGCGCGAGGCAATGCGCTTCGCGCACCGACGCCTCTACACTTTTGTGCCGCGACATACGAACCCAGTCGCATAGTCTCCCCGAGATTCTCCACGAATCCTTCCATCCCCGCGGCCACCGCGAGCGTGCCAATGAAAGCGTCTCCCGCGCCCGTGGTATCCACGATCTCTTCGTCCGTCAGCGTCATCGCCGGGGCAAAGATGACTCGCATCGCTGCTCGCCGCTCGCTGGTCGAATCCGTCGCGACGAACGCGATCGCCGACGCGCTCGGCGCGGGAACGTCATCGTTTGTCTTTCCAGCGTACGCAAGCGTCTCCAGACGCGTGAAAACGTCTTCCAAACGCGCGCCCGTAGCGGCGCGATCCTCGACGCCTGCGACGTCCTCGCGAACGAGTGCCACAGATCCTCTCGCCCCAAGCGTCGTCACTATCACCCGAGTTTCGTCGTCGCACAGCTCCGTCATCACGCGCATCATCGCATCCGCGAGGGACGCGCACTCTGGAAACCGCTCCATCGGGTACGTCTTCGACGTCACGACGACGTCCGCCAAGCCGACCAATTCGTCCAAACCGTCCCGCAGACGCTCCGCCTCGACCAAAACGCGCGTCCTCGCCCCTCGTGTCTTCGCCTCGCGCGCTAAAACAATCGCACGCTCGGTGAGTCGACCGTCAAAGTACACTACATCCGGATCCACTTCGCGCATGATCTCCTTCGCGCGCTCCGAAGTCATCGCCGCCGCCGCCAAAGTCGTCGCCTCCGTCGACCTCCCCGGCGTGTGCACGCACGTCCGTCTCCGATCACCGTTTTCACCTCGACTCACCAAAACGTACGTAAATCCACTCGTCCCCGGCCGCGTCGTCAAGAATCGACAATCGACGCCGTCTCCCTCCAACTCTCTCGCGATCGTCTCTCCGTGCGCGTCGTCTCCGACCTCCGACCCGACGAAACACCTCGCCCCCAATCGCGACGCCGCCGTGAGGGCGTTCGCGCAGTTCCCACCCCCGCACACCGTCATCGTCGACGCGCGGTGTTTCCCATCCGGGACGACGAATCCCTCACCGTCGAGCTCGGCGACGTAATCGATGCCCGCGCTCCCGAAACCAAAAATCGTCGCTCCTTCCCTCGCCGCGCGCGCGACGGGCGACGCGCGCGCGCGCGGGCGTCTCGAGCGCGTCCACGGTCTCGAGCGCGTCCAGCGAGGGGCGTCGCTCGCGGCGGCGCGAGACATGGGGCGATGTCGGTTCGCGCGGCGCGGCGTCGCGCACTCGCGTCGGGCGCAACGTTCGCGGCGACGGTGGTCGATGAAGTTGAATGAATTGAAATAATTCTGCGCTAGCGGTTCTCTACTCTATCTCCCTCATCACATCGGCACGTAGTTTGTGTCCTCGGCGTGCGCACCTCCGGCGTAATACTTTGAGTACCAGCGCACGAAGCTGTCCAGTCCCTCGTCCAGGCTGATGGACGGGTTATATCCAAGATCCTTTTTCGCCGCGCTAATATCCGCGTGCGTGAACGGGACGTCTCCCGTCTTGGGCATCGGGACGTAGTTACGATTCGCCGTCTTTCCGAGCGCCCGCTCGAGCTTGCTGACGAAATCAGACACCGTCACCGGTTGCGTGTTGCCGAGGTTGTACACGCGAAACGGCGGCCTCGATCCGTCCGAACCCTTTCCGCTCTTCTCGCTCGTATCGCACGCCGCGATCGTTCCTTTGACCACGTCGTCGATGTACGTAAAATCTCGTGCGAGCTCTCCACCGTCCGGACCCTTGAAAATCTTAACCGGTTTGTCCTTCATGATGTTGTTCGCGAAGGAAAAGTACGCCATGTCCGGACGCCCGTACGGCCCGTACACGGTGAAGAATCGAAGCGCTGTCAGAGCGAGACCGTGAATGTGATTGTACGTGTGCGCCAAGAGCTCGTCCGCCTTCTTCGTCGCGGCGTAGAGCGAGGCCGGAGAATCGGTGACATCTTTCTCGCTAAACGGCACCTTTGTGTTCAATCCGTACACGCTCGAGCTCGAGGCGAAGATCACCTTGGGCATCGGCGTCGTGCGCGTGATCTCCTCGAGCAAGGTCACAAAACCAGCGACATTTGAGTGCACGTACGCCCCTGGATTCTTCACCGCGTACCGCACCCCAGCCTGCGCCGCCAAATGCACAACCGTCGTGACTCGACACGTGTCCAAAATCTTCCGCACCGTCGACGCGTCGTTCAGATCCGCCTCCACCACGTGCACCCCGATCTCGCTCAATTTCGCCATTCGCGTCCGCTTTAACCCCCTAGGATAATAATCGTTCACGTTGTCCAACCCCACGACTCCGCTCCCTCGCTTTTTCAGCGCCGTCGCGACATGCGACCCGACGAACCCGGCGGCGCCAGTCACCAAGTACGTCTCCGACCCGAACTCACCGCTTCCGCTCCCCGCGCACGAACGCAGCAAAGCTTTACTCGACCCTACTCTCGCCGTGATGCTGAACGCGCTCAGAGGCCCGCTCTTGCGCACCGTCTCGCCGAATCCGTCCCCGCGTCCGCCGAGCCCGACGAGCGCCACGAGCGCGATCGCCACCAGCGCGATCGCGCACCCTCTCGACCCCCGCAACTCTCGCGCGACGCGCTTTGAGAACGACATGTCCGTTCGCGACGGTGAGCGCTTGCGCGACGACGCGACCGGGACGCGGTGACGCATCAAACGACGCGCGCGCGACGACCCCTCGATCGTTCGATCGATCGACGAACTCTCCTCGCGCGACGTCGGTCTCGCCCGCGCGCGCGCGCGCCTCGGACGCGGACGACGACGCGCGCGCCTCGAACGCGCGCGCGCGCGCCGTCGCGTCGCCGCGTGCGCGCGCGCGGCGTCGCGAGGTGTCGCCGCGCGCCGGCGCGCGTGCGTGGCGCCTCTCTCGTATAATACATCACCGAGACCTATATAAAAATACACGACGACCACCGACCGACCGATACATCGTAAAAAACATAAACCCTCACGTATACCACGTACGCGATACCCCGTGTGACGCACAGAATCTTTAAAGTCGCGCGCGACGAGCGCGACGCGCGACCGCACCGCGCGACGCCTTCGCTTCGCCGCTCGACGTCCTCGCGCGCGTTCGAGCGCGCGCGCGCGCGCGAGGATTTTCCGATCGCGTCGCGACGCGTTGAGAGATCGCGAGAGGGAGAGAAACACAGAGATTGCGTGCGATTCATTCAGCGCGCGTGTGGCATTGAAAATTGGCGCGCGACGTGTTGGAAACGCGCACGCGTCATGGCGCCGGGAACGCCCACGCTGAAACGACAGAGCACGACGGAATTCTTAGGATCGTTATTACGCGGGAACTCGCTCGAGGCGTTGGGTGAGGCGGAGGAGGACGTGGACGACGGGCGCGTCGGCGCGCTCACGCGCGCGGCGACGGTGAAATCGAGCGGCGACGAGAGCGAGCCCGGATCGCCGTTCAGTGACGTTCGGATCGGAAGTAGACGGCGAGAGAGGTTTGGATCTTCCCTTGGGTCGGATCGCATGCCCCCGGATCCGTTCCCGTTGAGCGAGGTCACGACGTTCGCGAGAGGGGATAGCGCGAGCGGGTTGGCGAGCTTTCTCGGCGCGAGCGAACCGACGGCGACGCGGAAGAGCGCGAGACACGCGGGGGGCGGTAGTGGGGCGAAAAAGGCAAACGTGGAGACGATGACGACGGTGCGGAGTGAGAAGGCGAGCTCGTCGAAGCGCGTCGTGCACGCGGAGAAGCCGAACGCGGCGGGATTCAAGGCGGCTTCGTTCGGGCGCGTCAACGCGCAGCACGGGGCGGGCGACGCGGGCGACCATCACGGGTGGTCGTACATCCCCAAGCGCGCCGATCGTCGGCGCGCGATCGCACGATTCACCACGGCGATCATTCGCGCCGCCGGACAGCAGAGTTTCATCTCACGCGAGGGCGTTGGGTATCGAAAGGCTTTTGATAGATTTTTGCTCGAGACGTACGGGGAGACGTTCGCCGAGGGCGGATACTGGTACAAGAACGCGGAAATCGAGCCATTTTTCCGCGTCATCCTCTACGTTGCCACCGAGGGGAAGATAAATCTAGCGAATGATGACGTGAAGTATCTATTCACGAAGAAGGAGGAGAGACAGGCTGCGGAATGGGTCCTGGACGAGGACGTCTTGGCTAAGCTCGGTCTCACGGCGCGTGACGTCGCTTCGGTGTACGAGGGGAAACCGCGAAAATCACAAGCGGGTTTCGTTCGAGGGACCCCGCTCAAGGTACCTCCGATGACGTCCATGCCCGAACAGCCCGCGCCCTTCTTAGAGGGAATCGTTCGGGCGAAGATGCGTACAACGAGCGCCACGGTTGAAGGCTCCATGGCGCCTCCGCCGCCTCGCCCGAGGACGCCCGTGGCGCTCCTCGTTCCGGGAAGCAATCTGTCCTCACCGAGCGCGGTGCCGCTGGACATCCAGCGCCTGTTCGATACCATCCCCAAGCCCAACTTCCAAGGCGTGAATGCGACGAAATCGAGACAAATGTCTCGACAATACTCGAGCGACCTCGCTCGACTCGTGAGCGAGTTCAACGCCAACCCGTCCTCGGGCGACGAGTTCGTCATGCAGTATCTCGCTCGAAGCGCGAGCGAACTCGACGCCATCGTCGCCATGCAGCAGAATGAGGCCGCAGCGAAGGATAATAAACGCGCGACCGAAGACGCGGATCAAGCCCGATCGACCAGAGCATCGAAACGGAGACGTTAGAAGAAGAGCAATGAAAGTAACATACAAACGCGAACGAACGCACGACGCAGCAGCAGACCGCACTTCTCGTCGCGATCAACGAGAGATGTCCATCCCCGAAGCTCCAACACCGTGTCCGGCGCACAGATTCGTGCGTTTTCGCACGCGTAACGACCCGAATCCACGCGTGGGCGTCTTGCTCGCGCCGAGCGAAGAGAAATCATCATCACCGCTCGTGCACGCGCCGCGGTTCTGCGCGCACGATGCGTCGACTGCGATCGTCCCATCCACCATGCGCGAGGCATTAACGATGTACGTCAACGATCATAGATCGTTACGCGTCGACGCGTCGTTATCGACGCCGCTGGAAGAGTGCGAGCTCCTATGCGCGGTGGACCGGGACGTCACGATTGCGTGCGTCGGGAAAAACTATTTAGAACACGTCGGCGAGGTTGACTCCACGATGCCGGGAATATCGCGAATGGATGTTCCCGAGGCGCCGATCATATTTTCCAAGGCGAGCACGAGCCTGAACGCGCACTTGGGGTCGATCGCGACACGCGGGCGGAAGGACGTCGACTACGAAGGCGAGCTCGTCGCCGTCATTGGACGAGAGTGTAGAGACATCGATCCAGGGATGAGTGATGAAGACGTCGTGAAGAATTATGTGATTGGATGGAGCATCGCAAACGACGTCACGGCGCGAGAGCTACAGAAGACGCATCAACAGTGGTTTCTCGGGAAGAGCGGCGACACGCACTGTCCACTCGGGCCGTGGGTGTGTTGCGACGACGGACGCGCGCCCGCGCTCGGCGCGGCGTCCATCACGACCGCTGTGAACAGTGAGATTCGTCAACGGAGTACGGTTGACCAGCTTATATGGAGCGTCGGCGCTCTCATCGCGTGCATTTCGAGACATCAAACCTTGCGTGTTGGCGACTGCGTGTTAACCGGAACGCCGAGCGGCGTCGGCGCTGGATTCGACCCACCTCGATTTCTCCAACCGGGCGACGCGTGCGAGGTCACGATCGAGGGTGTGGGTACACTAAAAAACACCGTGGTCGAGAACATTTAAACGAACGTGTCAAAACAATCACCATTTCCTCGTTGGATATCGTCTCTCCATGGAGCGCTTATCCGCTCAGCCTCGAAGCCCCACCTCCCGACGCGCGCGCTTCGATCACTGACGGTCACGACACTCGGCTCGATGACGACACACGCGATGCCATCGTCGTCATCGATCGCTCGATCGAGCGCGACGAAGAGAAATCGAGTGGTGGTACGCGCCAAGGGTAAAAACTCCAGGGCTCGAAGTGGGCAATACAATCGAACGAGAACGACAATCGAGGGCGACGACGCGGACGACACCGCGTCCACGATCGAGCGACTCGAGAGTAACGCGTTCTCAACGCGGTCGGCGTCGTACGATAAGAAGAAGCTGGCCAAGGTGAAGGCGCAGAGGGACGCGGACAGAGCGCGAGAGGCGGCGAAGCGGGACGCGTTCGACGCAAAGTACGGTACGTTTTTAATCGCGATGAATCACGGTTTTAATGCGTAGAGACTGACGGGTGATGTGTGTTCGCGTAATCAGCGCAACGAAGCGCGCAGGGAATACCGCAGATCGTGACGGATCGCATGCTCAAGCGCGTCGGGATATTTTGCGGAACGCCTCTGATGCTGGGCTTCACCACCGGACCGCTGTTTTACTATTTCAAAGCGGTTCGACACGTAGACGTGCCTCCATGGGTGTTCTTCACCGCTAGCACCGCGACATTCGGCGCGGCGTTCATCGGGATCTCGTACGGCGTGTTATCAGCGAGCTGGGATCCGAGGCGAGAGGGAACGTTTTGGGGTGGGAGCGAGTTCAAGGAAAACGTTCCGGTGGTAATCTCGACCATCATGAACAAGGCTAAGGGTGAGAAACCGCTCGAGTGGGACGACGAATCCGACGTCGATACGTGATGGATGTAATACATAGTCGTTTCGATTGATTGACAAGTCCTAAAAGAAGCGATCGATTTCGTCGCCAGTGTACGCGCGCGTGCTCTTCGCGATAACATCTGGTCGCGCGCGTGTGCCGAGCCTCGCGCCCATCCAAGACGTGATCGGCGCCTCCCGCGCGAGCATTGCGCGCACCTCGATATCGGTGGGATCTGTGCTCGACTCCTCGACCGGTTGCTTCGCGTCCGGTTCATCCTTCGCCGCTACTTTGTTCCACGATACAGACTCATCAATGTCGGCAGCAACCTCTGGCAAATTTACGGTTTTATCCATCGCTGCGTCCTCTTCGTCCGCATCAGTTCTCTCTTGCGATATCGCAGCGCTTGCGGTCTCATTTCTCTCCTCCTCCTCGAACGCACGCGCCGTGTTTGGATCGAAAATCGGCGCCCTGGTGTTTGGCTCAACGGCGTTTGCCTTATGCTTCGACGACAAGCCATCGTACCAGTTCTTCGCTGTGTACGAGTAGCACGTCAATTTGCCGTGCGCGCACAAATCGTTGAGCCAATTATCGACGTTCACCATGGGCATCTCTCTCATGTGTGACGGGAGGCGGTCGAGGAACATCTTAGACACCATGTAAAGGTTTGTCTCCAAGCGTTCGCCGACGATGCTCGCTGTGTTGTTGTACAGCAAATATGGTTGTTCCCACGCCTTGTTCGTAAACAGAGCCTCTGGTCGCTTCAGGTTATCCTCACTCACGCCACGCTCGCCGCGGTCGAGGAAGACGACGTCCCACTTCTTCGGTCCACGCAACATGAAGCTCAACACAAACGAGTCAAACTCCGTCGGAGGTCCGGCGTGTGAGTTCACGTACCCCTTCGGTGTTGCGACGATGAGCTGCCCCAAACCCTGTCGCTTGGCGTTCACCCACGCCGTGACCGCACTCAAAGACGCCCCGACGTCTTTCCTGGCCCCGATCCTATCTGCCACCAACCGCCCGTATTCCTCGTGCACGTTTCCAAACGCCTCGTACGTCGCCTCATCGCTCGTCCTCAGCGAATCGATCGCCCTCTTCAACGCCGCCGAAGGATACGCCGTGAGATCGTAATACGGCACCGCATCGAGCGACGCATCGCCGTCGAATCGATACAACTCGGCGTTCGCCCGCGCGCGCGCCTTCTCCGTGACGTTCAACCCGTCCAGCGCCCTCGGGACCAACTTCGTCGCCCGCGGCGGCTCTCTCGCGCCGACGACGAGCCCGATCGCTCCACCGATCCCTAAAGCGCTCTCACGCGCGCGATCGTCGCGCGATGCGACCGCGACGAGCGCCAACGCGCCGATCAGACCACCGCCCAGGATCCATCTCGGTCGCCGGTCGCGTCTTTGCGACGCCGCGTGCGCCGCGTGTTCGTCGTCGACGGGCAGGAGAGGGGAGGACGACGACGGGATTTGCGCCTCGACGTCGCGCGCGCGATCGAGCATCGCGTGGGTGTTTCGTGGACGACCCGGCGAGAGGAAAAGTGTGGTTGAGGTGACTTTAGTGTTATATTTTAGGGTGTTGGCCAGACGTCGCGGCTTTCGAGGCGAGACGTTGAGGGTGTCTTTACAGCGCCAAATAGGCTAGGTTTCGCGACGCTAAGAGGTACCGATGAGGGAATCGAGGTCCATGAGCTCGCGGTTATCCTCGTAGAACTGCTGGACGGCGTCGAGCGAGCGCGTGCGAATGGTGGAGCTGATGGCGACGAAGTCCTTGCCGTATTGGAGCAAACCGGAGACAAACTTTGTCTTCTCCATGTCGGTCCACTCCGGGCCCTTGCTCGGGGGTTTCCCGGCGTTCGCCTTTGCCTCCTCCGCCTCCTTTGCCGCCTTGGCCTTGGCCTTTTCAGCGCGCGCCTTGGCTTTTGCAGCCTTGGCAGCTGCAGCGAGCGCGGCGCGCTCGAGACGCGCCTCCGCCGTGGGCGCCGAGCGCTCCTCGCGCTGAGCCTCAATCTTCGCCGGGTCGATCTCGCGCATACGCTGCGCATCGGCGTATGCCCGACGTTTCTTCATCGCCGCGCGTCGACGACCGCGGAAACCGTCATCCGTCTTTTGGAATTTGTAGTAGTACATGACACAGTCGCCCGTGTCACGACCCTCCAAGTGCTCGGAGATGCGACGGAAATTCTTACCGTACGCGGCGAATTTTTCGTGGAAAATCTTCTTCTCCGCCTTGGTCCACGGTCTGATGCGATTGATGCGATCGCGCTCCGCCACAGGATCCTCTACGAGGTTGTTTCGGCTGTCGAAGACAGAGACGCGTAACTCCTCGGGGTCTAAGATCATATCAGGGATCGTCGTCATGCGACGCAGTTCCTCCGTTCGCTGGAGCGCCTTGATCATTTGCATCTCTTCGTACTCCGATCGCGCGACGCCAGTGCTGAGATCGTTCGTGGAGCGATTCCTACCGCTCTGCCTAGAGCCTGGCGTGAATCTCTTCTTGGCGGAACCGTCGACGTACTCCTTCGCAAGCCTCGCGTTCGCCTCCTGCACCAGGCGCACCCGCCATATTTCCCGCTGCTTGAGATAAGCGAGCGTGTTCGTGTAATGTTTTTCGGACACTGCGCGCCTTCTCTTTTGCAAAATTTCGCGTACTCGACTTGCGACTTCGAGCGCCTTCGGCGTCTGTGACGCCTTGACGCACTGAGCGACGACGGCGTCGAAATCGACGCGTTGGACGTTATCCATGAGTGGCAACCGGTATTCTGTCTTGATTCGATCGATCGAAGCCGCAGCGAGCTTTTTGTTGTGCTCTAGATCGCGCTCAATTTGCTCTACGCGAGCTTCCCTGCGATGAATCATCTGTTGAATCGCCTTTGCCGCAAACGCCGACGCCTCCTGGTTCGCACGCTTCACCTCAGCGACGGCGCCACCACGCGCCCGCTTAGAAGCGGACTCGCGCAGTAGAACGGACGCCTCGCGCATCTTGCTCACGGCGAGATCCTGCGCGCGCTGCGCCGCGCGCTCGGCGTTGGCCAATCGCTGACGCAACGCCTCCGTCTCTCGTTTGTGCCTCGAGAGCTCATCCTTGGAATCCATCGATGCGCCACGTTTTTCATCTTCGCCCGACTTTTTCAGAACCTCGAGCTCTTTCTCCAACTCCGCGACCTCGGCGTCGACGCGCTCCATTTGACTCAGTAGCGCCTCCTTTGTGACTTTCAGTCGCTGCTCCGTCGCTCGAGCCTTGGCAACGGTCTCATGATCCGGCGTGTTGGATGGCATTACCTTTGGCGTCACCGGCGTCGATGTAGCGCGCGCCGCGGCGGCTCCCCAGCCTCCACTTGCCGGCGTCACCGTAGGCGTGGCCGCCCCCGATGTGAGCGTCGGCGTCGCCGTCTTCGCTCGCATATCGCCCACCGATCCCGTTCGAGCCACTGCGGCGTCGCGAATCTCCCTCTCGTTCATCATCTCGTCTTTCATCGCGCTCGGTGCGTCTGTTCCGCTCGCCGGCGTCGGCGTCTTTGCACGCGCGAGCGCCTGTCCCCATCCCCCGAGCTTGCGCTTCTTCGGCGTCGCGTCGCTCGTCGGCGTCGGCGTTGGCGCGATCCCCGACCCCGCAGCCCCGCTTGCGCTTGCCAACTCCCCACTCTCGCGTTCGCCGACACCCGACGACCCGAACCGCTCGCCACCGCCGAGCACGCCGCTCGTCTGCGTCTCCACTCGCACCGCCGGCGGCCTCTGCTGCGACAACAAGCTCTGCCGCTCGCGCACGCCCGCGAGCAGACTCGGTCGCGGCCTCTCCCCCGCCTCCATCCCCGGCGGCGGCGGCACGTCGTATCCGGGTCTCGGCGCCGAGTTCGTCCGTCCAAACGTCGCGATCACCGGCTCCGTCGAGGCGCCGCCGCATCTTCACCCATCCTCGAACGCGTCCGTCCCTCGACCCACTCGCGTGATCAAACATGCTCGGTCTCTGGTGTCTCTCCACCGCGCTCGACGGCGCGAGTCCCGCGCCGGGCCGCGCGCCGGGTCGCTCGCGCGTCGCGCCTCCGCCCCTCGTCCCCACGGCGACGTCGTCGTCCGCGCCGCCGCGCGCCCGTCACCGTCACCGCGCGCGATCTCACGCGCGCGATCCATCCCCGGCGGTCGCGCGGGCGCGCGGTTCCACGACGCGGGCGAGCGGTCGTTCATCGCGCGCGCCGCGGTCGATCGATCGCGCGCTCGGAATTAGCGACGACGACCGATCGTCGCGATGCGCACCGTCTCTCGCGCGCGCGCGGCGTCTCCCGATGCCCCCGCGCGCCGCGCGCGGGCGCCGTGGACGCGTGCGGGCGCGAACTCGCGCGTCGCGCGGGCGTCGACGCGGGCGTCGCGCGGCGGGTTTTCTGTGTATTTCTAGGGTATAGGGTAGGGTATAGGGTATAGGGTTTAGGCGACACGCACGTCGCGCGCGCCGAGACGTCGTCGACGCGCCACCGCGCGCGCGACCGGCGCGTCGACGGACGCGCGACCGCGGCCGTGGACGGTGGTCCTCGCGCGCGCGACGCACGACGCGCGCGGCGCTCCGTCGAGCACTTTTTGGAATCATGGCGCATCGCTCGGCGCTCGGCGCGCGCTGCGATGGCGTCGGCGCTCGTCCGTCGCGCGCGGTGCGCGGGCGACGATGGGCGACGATGCGGCGTCGAGCGTACGGGACGTCGGACGCGGACGGGACGTGGAGAGAACACGCATCGAACGCGTTCACGAAGCTCATCGACGTCGCGCGCGGGCAGAGAGACGTCGTCCAGGCGGGCGCGCCGGCGCTGAGGGATCGAGCGAAAGAGATCGATCCGAGGGAGATTGATTCGGCGGAGATTCAGGAATTAATCGGTGAGATGGTTCGCGTGATGCGCGCGCGAGGGGTTGGGTTGGCGGCGCCGCAGTTGGGAATACGCAAACGCGTCATAGTATTGGAGGATACCGAGGAGGGCATGTCGGACTCGAGCGCGGAGGAGCTCGCATCGCAGAAGCGCGCGCCGTTCGCGTGTACGGTGATCATTAACCCCACGCTCGAGCGCGTTGGCGACGCGAGCGCGATATTTTTCGAGGGATGTCTCAGTGTCGCGGGATATCGCGCGTGCGTGCGCAGACACCTGAGCGTGCGATGTCGCGGTTTAGGCGGCGACGGGAAACCGGTCGATTTCATCGCCACCGGGTGGCAGGCGCGGATATTACAACACGAACTCGATCACTTGGACGGCGTCCTGTACACCGACCGCATGGAATCCCGAACGTTCAGGCGAGTGGACATGTTGAGCGAACCGCTCCCGGGAGACCACGCCGAGTTCGGCGCGGGCGTCGTCCTCGGCGAGAGCGTCATTCGGATCGAGCGAACGATGAGCGACGCCGAGAGCGTGGAGCAACGCGTGAAGAATTCGAGGAAGAACCGAAAGGGTCGATGATCACCGATCGATGAGGACCGGTCGTGTGGCGTAGAGGTTGGTTGATTTAATTGCACGCGAAGCGGACTCAAAAAATAGACCAACTACCGTCCCTTATGATAACGTGGCCATTTTTATTACGAACGACGCCCGACGAACGCGCGCGCAAAAATTAGCGAAGGTGACACGCGCAGCGTGTACTTCCCGTTCGCATCCCGTGAGTTGCGTCGCGTTGTGGCGAGTTGAGTTGGTTGCGAAAACATCGTAAATTCGTCGCAATGTGTCGATTCATCCCAACATCGAATCTGGACGACGTGGGTGTCGCGGGCGCTCGCCGCCGGCGCACGCATACGTCGAAATAGTGTCGACGATAAACATTTCCTTCGACGTCGACGTTCGCGTCGCTCGTTCGCGCGCGCGTTCGCGCGCGCGTCGACGATGTGAGTTACGTGGACACTTTAACACACTGGCCACGTTATCATAAGGGCGGTACTTTCAATGTAACACTTCTAAAGTCCCTCCATTCTTCCAATCGTGACTCACGGAGGCTGGACATTTGAGCCCCTGTCACCGAGTTCGCTTCGAGTCGTGATTCGCAAAAACTCCTCGCGTTGGCTCGTCACTCATGGCTCGAAAAACAAAAAGAGTTTTTCGCCGATCATGACCCATCACTATCGTTGGGACTCATTTAAAAATGTCCAGCCTCCGCGGGTCACGATTCGTCACATGAAGGACTCCGGAAATGTTACACGAGGTTTACGCATTCGACATAAAATATAAATATATGTTCTCGGGAGGGAGGAAGAGGATATAGGAATGCGCCGCACATCGGGCGGCACTCGCGCGTCGCGCGTCACTCGTCGACGTATCGACGCGTCGCGCCTCGACCGCGCGTGCGCGCGTGCGTGAGAAGTACCGTCGTCGATCGATTCGAACGTCGCGGGAAGGACGCGTCGCGCCGACGCGTGCGAGGGGTGGACGGAGACGATTGCACACGCGTTGAGATCGAGTGGGAATCTCAACGTTGCACGCTCGGCATCGCGTTTTTAGAGCTCATTCGACGAATCACGCGAGTGGAAAGGGTTCGATCGTTCGAGTAGCGCTTTCGTTTAAGTCGTAGACGGGTCTTGGAAGACGTGGGAATACATTTCATTGCGATTCGTCTCGTCGGCGGCGACCTCCGAGCGCGCAAACGACGCGGGTTTCGATCGTGGACGCGAACGCACGCGCGATTTGTTGATTTGATTTGATTCGTTGATTCGTTATTTTAGTGGTCTCAGAGCGAGCTCGATCGACATGTCCGGAGAGGAATTTGAGGAGTACGCCTCGGCGCTGAGCGAGCTCGTGGTGAACAGCAAGCCGATCATTAACGCGCTCACGATATTAGCCGGGGAGATCGCGGGTAAGGATGAAAAAAGAGCGGAGGCGGTCGCCGAGCTCATCAGAGCGCACATCAAAAAGTCCCCGGCGAAGAGCAAGCTGTGCGGATTCTATTTACTAGACAGCGTGGTGAAGAATCTTAGAGAACCATTCGTGCGATGCTTTTCGAGAGGTTTGAGCGATTTGTTCCTTCCCGCGTACGCCAAAGTCGACGCTGCGCAGAAAAAGAGCATGCAACGCTTGTTTGGGACGTGGAAGCCGGTGTTTCCGTCGAGCGCTTTAGATGACATAGAACCACACATCTCGGGGGTGTCAGCGCCAAGCGCAGCGGCGCCGCCACTGCAGGTCGTCGCCGCGCCGCAGTGGCAGGCGCCACCGTCCGCGCAGCTTCAACAGTGGGCACCTCCAGTACAGCAGTGGGTCGGGTATGGAGCACCGCAACAGCCGTACGCGGGTTACGGTCAACACGTCGCCGTACCGCCGCCGCCCGTCATCGCCGCCGCAAACCCCCTCGCCGGCGTGTTCAACGGCGGCAGTGGCGGCGATCTCTCCGCACTCATCGCGTCGTTGGAGGCGAAGCAGGCGTCGAGCGCGGTGGCCGTCGTCCCTCAGACGACCGCTGTCGTGTCAACGCCGGGAGAACCTCCGGCGTTGACGACGGATTTCAACCCACAGAAGGATTTAGCCGAACTTAGCGTGAGAAGAGAGAGCGTTATCAGCGCTCTGTACCATCAACTCCCCTTTCAGTGCCTCCAAAACGGCCGACGTTTTCGCACGCAAGCTGAACTCGATGCCCACATGGATTGGCTCCACGCTCGCCGAAAGCGTCGTCGCGACGGCACGGTGAGCCGAAAGTGGTTCGTCGATATAAGCGCCTGGCTCAAGGGACTGAAGACGCTCGCCGAGGACGTGATGAACTTTTTTGGCGGCGACGACAAGGACAGCGCGGCCGAAGCCACCGTGGACGATGGCTTGGACGACCTGAGCGTGCCCGTGGACGAGTCGCAACCGACATGCGCGCTCTCAGGTGAGGAATTTGAAAAGTTTTGGAACGAAGCCGAACAGGAGTGGCACTACCGCGGAGCAATCCTTCTCGATCGCGCCGTTGGTGGCGCCAAGAAGGGTTCGATCGTTCTCGCGCGCGCGGTACCAAAGAAACGCAACGCCGCGACGAAATCGAAGGCAAGCAAGACGGCGGCGGTAGCGGTTGTGAAAACTGAGGATGGAACGACGCGGAGAAGCACGCGCGGAGCGAAGACGAAGATCAAGGCCGAGGGCGAACCCGCGGAAACGAGCCCGGCGAAACGCGCGAGGCATTAGTGGATTAGCGAGCGAATGAAATGTGTACTACAGGTATAGCAATGATGCGACGACGCGCCGCGATGACGCGCCGCGAAAGAATACTGCCTAGTCTAAAAATGCTGTTTTAATCATCCAGCTCCTCCTCCTTCATCTTTTCCGCCGCCGCCTCCGCCTTCGCCTGGTCGTCGAACCGCACGAGATCGAGTTCGTCGTACATATACTTTGGGACTCCACCCATCTCGACGTAAAACAGTCGACCGTCCGCCTCCCACGAAACGAGCGGCCTGGAAGACTCGGACTCGCGCATTGCGCTCGCGGCGAACGTCGTCTCGTACGTCCTCGCATTCCAACCAAACTTCGTCGCCCGCACTCTCGTCTCCGCCCCGATTTCACCACCCTTCTCAATACGCATCGTCTTCACGTACGGGCTGACGAACCACTGTAATAGCACCGTCGTGAACATCCCAAACGACATCACCGTACCGCACGCCGCCGCCTTGGCCTCGAACACCAAACTCGGTGACGTCAACTCAATCAGCGCCGGTGTCCCGACCACGCACGCCCCGAGCGAAGCTAACGATAAGAGTTTCACCTTGCGCACGGTATCACCGAGCGCGGCGACGTAGGGCGCGCGTGCGGTCGACGATGAGGTCAGAGATGACTTTTTCTCCGCGCGTTGTGTGCGCTCAACAAACTTGGCGTCGTTCGATCGCGTCGAGGCGCATCGAGCGACGTAGGAGCGCTCGCGCGCGAGCGACCGTCGGAGCGCGCGCTCGAGAGCGATGCGACTCGACATCGGAAGCGCGCGCGCGTGGCGAACGAACGCGACGCGCACGCTCGACGACGCGTCGCGTGTCCAAATGTCCGAAATCCCGTGGTGAAGAGTTTATGTATCGACATACCGTAGTACGGTGCGTTTCAATGCATATAGTCACATGACGTTGGAACGACGTCCGAGCGCACCGCGTCGTCGGTAACGACGCGCGCGCGCGCGCGCGCGCGAGTGTCTCGCGTCCAACGTCCCCGCGCGCGCGTCGAGCGAGGTCCACCGCGTCGTTCGATCGAATAAACGATCGATTCGTCGCGAAAATATCGTCGCATCACATGTCGAGCGTCTTCGAGCGAGTGACGCTGCGAACACGGGCGAACGTGTACTTCGACGGGAAGTGCGTCTCGCACGCGTTCACGACGGCGAACGGGGAGGAGAAATCGGCGGGGGTGATCTTGGGACCGAATACCGAGTTAGGTTTCAGCACGAGTAAGGCGGAGGTGATGACGTGCGTCGGCGGTTCGTGCGAGTACAGGTTACGCGCCGACGAGGAGGGTCGCGCGCGAGAGTGGATCACCAGGGTCGAGGGCGAGTCGTTCGCGATCGAAGAGAACAGTTCGTTCGAGATTAGAGTGAAGGATGCGTATCACTACGTGTGCTCGTACGCGTGAGCGCTCGAGTCCGCGCGCGCCGTCGCGCGTCCGCGCCGCCGCGTCGCGCGACGTCGATCACACTGATTTATTATTAGTTGAATATGAAACCAGGGGTTTGTCGCGAAAGATTCAACGCCCCCGACGCACACGCCGACGCGCGTCGTCCCCGCGCGTGGACGAGTCCGAGCGAAACGCTCGCGGTGCGCTTTAATCGGCGTCGCACCATGCGAAGCGCGTCGCAACGCGCCGTGACGCGCGCGATCGATCGCGCGAGACGATCGCTCTCGACGGAGAAAACCCCCGCGAGCGCACTCTGGAGCTCCCCGCGTCCGGTGGACACCCCCTCGAGGGACTACGACGAAGCGCTGCGACGCGGACGCGCGCTCTACCGGGACGTCTGTCGAGAGATTCCGTGGGTGATGGATAATTACTCGATGAATGAGGTCACGACGGCGACAAAGCTCCGACGAGCGGTGAAAGACGTGATGCGAGCGAAGATTGAGGAGTTGGAGACGAAGACGAGGCCAGAAGATCGAGCCAATGCGTTGGATATCGCGTTGTGGCGCGCTCGGGAGGAGTTGATCGCGTTGGAGGCGCATCATTATCAGCGACATCACTTGATCACGCGCTTCGTGAACCCGCGCGCGGTGAACGCGAGCAAGGCGAAGAGGAGCGCGTTCGTGGACGACTTCTTGAGCGGTGGTCGCATTGAATTGCACTAAGTACACTACGCGAGGCGTCGGTACGCACATCGCACGCTGAAGACGATGAAATAGTAGACGGTTTGTATTAACATAATGGATGAAGACGCGCCCGGTCGAGCGCGACGCGCCTCAGTAAGCGACGCATGTCCATCGATCTCGACGCCTTGGATGTCCTCGCCGCGCGCGTGAACACGTCCACGCTCAAATCATGGCAAAAGCTCGTCGATCACTTGCGAGCGTTCCCGGACGAGATCGTCGAGCCGCGCGCCGCGGTTGCGGGCGAGGAACAAAGTTTGAAATCCAACCTGCGCGAGCTGTTGGTGCGGCAATCGCGAACGTTGGCCAAACTCTTGTTACCCATCGCGGACGCGTTTGAAACCAACGCCGAGGCGGCGAGCGCGTTCAGGGCTCGAGCGAGCGAGCAGGAGACGCGGGTGAATGGGAAATCAATGACCGGGACGCGGCGGGACGTACGCGAAGCGCGAGGCGTCGCGCGCGGGATCTCCTGGAGCGCGCCGAGGGGGAAGTACGACGCGTACGCGATGCCAAACGGGGATTTAGTGCTCGAGAACGCGAAGGGCGTTCAAATTTTGGTCGAACGTGGGATGGTTCGAAGGGTTTTGGCGTTGGACACGGGCGACGCGAACGGGACGAGCATGACGCAGGTCGCCTTGACGGCGCCCGGGGTGGAGAATGGGAAGAGTAAGCTCACGACGCTATGCGCGACTTTTCGAGCTAAAGATAGGATCGTGATCGAGGGTGGTTTGGTGGGAGTCGGGGCTGAGGGTGACGAGCGAAGCGCGTCGCGGACGTTTTTTGATTTCATGCGCGCGGCGTACGGCGACGACGCGTGCGGGACAACAAATCCATCGAAAACGTTCGCGGGTACTAAGGGGATGGGGCACGTGCAAGCAACGAAGGGTTTCAACTCTGGACACCTGTTCTTCCTAGACGAGGGCGTGGCTTTCGGTCCCAGTCCCGCGATGTACGTGCACTTTGACGATTTAGAGGATTTGAGAGTGCTTCGCGCCGACGGCGCGGGATCGAGCTCGTTCGACTTATCGATGACTCCCGAGAATGGAACCGCGATCGAGTTCACGAATATCTCGCGAGAAGAGCTCGAGCACGTCAGTCGGTACCTTGCGAAGCGATGCACGAGCGCCGACGACGATCCGAGCGCTGCGGATCTCTTGGACGCTGCCGAAGACGAAGATGACGACAGCGACGACGAAGACGACGAGGATTTCACCGGTCGCGAACGTGAATCTGACGATGATACCGACGAAGACGACGACGATGACAACGAAGGGAACGACATGGAATACTCGCACGACGACTCCGACGAGGCGCGCGGCGAAGAAGACAAAGACTCCGATTCCGACAACGTCGCCCCGCGATCGGACCGCAAGCGTCCGCGCGCGAGCGAAGCCGAGGCGCGCGACTATTCTGAGAGCGATTCCGAATCGGACGATAACGCGTTCCAGGTCGTTCGCGGATGATTGTAATTTCATTGGACTTGAACTCACTTCGCTCGGCTTGAACTTCACTTTGTGACTCCACTTTGAGTTCATCGAGATGCCGACCAAGCGTAAGGCCACCGAAGCTCAGGCGAACACCAACGATGTACGTTCACACGCCGATTCAACCACCGATTACGTCGTAAACGGGCGAAACGACGCGAGAAAAATCACGTTTTCAACAACGACTGACGTGCTTCAAAATTCCCAAAAACGCAGCCGAAACGCGCGAAACGCGCGGGCGCGAAGACCGCGACCGAGTCATTAGACGCGCCGAGGGACAAAGCGACGAGAGATGACGACAAAAAGGCGGGACCCGACGAAGAAGAGGAGGAAGATCGAGATGAGATGCAAGACGGGGAAGATTTGGATCTTCGACGCCGAGACGCCGAGACGGACAGTGCGACGGAAGCTCGACGAGACGCCGATCGACAGCGCATGTTGGAGTTATTAAAGACGTTCACACCGTCGCAGATGGAGCGGTACGAGAGTTACCGGAGAAGTAACCTGAGCAAGCCCATGTTGCGGAAACTGTTCCGAGCCGCGACGGGGGTGAATTTGAACCCAAATGGATTGATCATCCTGGCGGGGGTGTCGAAGATGTTCGTGGGGGAGATGGTAGAGACGGCTCGGGAGATTATGCGCGCGAAGGGGTTGAACGAGTACGAGGAGATTCGACCGGAACATTTGAGAGAGGCGGCGCAGGTCATCGACGCGCGAGGCGGTTTGATGAGAAGGAAGAGAAACGACTCCGTCTTCAGCAGAAAGTAGCGGAAGAGATTTGCACCACTAGCTGCGATTTGGCGTCGAATGTATATTGGATATAGGGCATAAATACTGAAGTCTGTGTCCCCGAGCTTGATCGCGCGTTCGTTTTACGCGTCATCGCGAGATGCAGTTGGTTCACCGGCGTCGTCGCGACGAATTCATAACGTGACGGTCATCCCTGAGCCTGAGAGATCGCCGGTTTCCACCGCCGCTTCACCGCGGGCGTCTCGGCGAAGGAACGCTTCACGGATTGGTACGGCGCCTCCAGGCCGCCGGATTTCGCTGCCTGTCGCTTTGACTGCGCTCGCATCTCTGTCACGCGCGCGTGCGCGTGGCTCGACGCCGACTTCGCCACTGTCGCCGCACCGACAACCCCTCTCTTCGCGTGCGTTGCGACCATGGTGGCGACGGCTTGGAGCGCGGCGGCCTGCGGCGTTGCCGCGAACCGCATCGCGGCACCAACTGCGAGCGCCCCCAAGGCGACACCCGCCCAGATCCCTCCATTACCCGACGACGCACGCTTCCCTCGCGAATTCATCGGCGTCTTGTCACCCTTAGTGTCGGCGTTTGGCGAGCCGTACGCGCTGTCTTCGCTCATCCCGCCCGGAGAATCACGAAGCGTCACCCCACGGCTCGATTTCACTTCGCTCACGTACACGTCGCTCACGCCTCCCCTGCGCGCCAGATTCTGTGGCGTCATCGGCGCTGAAAACGCGTTGTACTGCGCAAACATCTTCGTCGCCTCCTCCTCACTCATCGCATCCACGTCCTCATCATCGACAAACTTCGGCTCGGCGTGTAAGAAGGACGCCGGCGACGACGTCCTCGTCGCCGCGTCGTACTCCTCTGACATTGAACGCTCCCTCGCCTCTTCCTCGCGTTGAATCATCTCTCGATCCCCCGGTACCTCCAAAAACTCCATGCACTCCCGCACCGCGTTTCGCTCCGACGTCGCGCTCTCCAACGCCCTCGCGCACGCTCGCACGCCGTCTCTTCGCGCGCGCTCCAAGTGTTCACTCAACGATTCCGCGCGTCTTCGATCGAGCTCATCGTTCGACCTGAGCGCCGTCGTGAGCTGTCGCAGCGCGTTCACGACGTTGGATAAATTATCGTTCACGCGATGGAGCGCCCGGAGCTCGATCGCGTCCGCGCTGTCGTCGCTCGCGCGATGAGGATCGTCTCGCGACTGATGCGTCCACGCATTCACCTCGGCGCGCTGCATCGCTTGCGTCACCGTTCGTTGCGTCGCGACGGCGCGGCGAAGAGCGCGCTCGTGGTTGAAGAAAATTTCATTCTCGCGTCGTCGCGGAGAGAAGGGCGTCGGCATGACGTCGAACGTCGAGGAGTGGCGTCGACGTGATTCGTTGGGAAGACCAAACGGCTCTTTGCGGAGCCGTGGTGCGGTCCCCCTGGGCGTCGTACTTTGCGCGCGAGAAAACGTTTTCGATGAGGCGTGCGCGTCGGTTACATCGCATTAAAGATTGACTAGGATTGGGTAATCGCGAAGGAGCTCGGTTTGGGTCAAGACGTCGCCGTCCTCTTGCGGGGTCCATAAGACCTCGACGGCTTGGAGGGCGTCGACGCGGACGGCGCCGAGACGCTTGAGCGCCGTTTTCATGTCCAAAGCGTCGGTGATTTCGGGCATTTTCACTCCGCCGTCACACGCAGCGATGATGGTGACGAGAATGTAATCGTTCGTGTCCGCGCCGGGGACGGAACCCGCGGTCGTGGCCTTCTTTCGGTTATTGACGTTGACCAAAGTCTCCTGCTCGAATTTACCGCGCTCATCGAGAGCGAGGTCGTTGAAGAGCTCTTCCGCCTGCTCGGGACCGCGACAGACCTTGGACTTTGCAAATCCGTAGATGGCGTACTCTGGGTTTCTTAAGAGCGCCAAGACGGTTTCTTGTAAGACGTAATGTAAGCCATCAGGCGCCGACGTATCTGCACGGTCGGCGATGCGCTCCAAGTCTCGCTGGAGCGACCGCGCGGTGCCGAGCAAACCGACCTGAATCTTCACCACGGTGATCGAATCCCCACCCGAGACCAGACCATCCCCACCCCCGTTCATCTGCTGCAACGCGGTAGAGATGAACGAGGCGAACATCATGAGCATGATTATGTTGAAGAATCCGCCGCCCATGCCGTATCCCATCCCGTACCCCATCCCCAACCCGGGACCGATGAAGAATCCCGACGTGCGCATCGGCATCGCCCCCGTGGTCGCGCTCGGTGCATTCACTGACCGAAACGATGACATGCTCGTAGGCCCGCTTCCGATAGACCGGAACGAGCTCGCTGCGCGGAACGATCCGCCACCCATGCGTCCGCCGCTTCGCGCCGCGAGCGCACCGCCAGGCACTACCATCGTCGTCCCGATCGCGAACGCCAAAGCGAGCGCCCATGTCCTAAATAATCTCACCCATCGTTTCACCGGCGACGCCTCGTTCTCAATCTTGGAAGATTCCACAGCGCGGTTATCTTCAGCTCGAACCGTCGTCCCGCTCGCGAAACTCAACGCTCGCTTCGTGTGCGCATCGAAACCACCCTCGCGCTCTCGACGCGACGCGCGCGCGACCACTACACGCGTCGTCGCGCGTGCCATCCCCGAGCGCTCCTTCGTTCGCTCGCGCGCGCGTACGAAGACGCATCGACGCCGATCGAAGCAATCGCGAGACACCACACCGTTAGACGCCGCGCGTCCGTTCAACGTCGTGCAGACCGTGATCATCGCGCGCGCGTTTCGTTCACGCGCGATCCGCCCGCGCACCCGCGTCGCGCGGACGACGGCGCGCCCTCGACGTCGCAAAGTCCCGATGTCGAACCGTTTCGAGAGGTGGACGCGTGGCGCCATCCCGCACACCGCCGCGCTCGACGATCTCCATGTCCCGCGCGTCGGTGCGATCGTTCAACGCGTTCGTCGCGCTCGCTCGATGCGCGCGGCGGCGCGCGCATCGACCGAATGTCGCGGTGAGAGCGGATTATAGTCGGTCGAACGCTCGAGGCGGCGGCGAATCCCGACGCGTCGAGCGTGACGACGGGCGATCGGACGGACGAGACCGCGGTTCGGACGGACGAGGGCGTTCGGAACGCTCGAGGGTGTCTCCACAGCGCTCGAGTGGGTTCACGAGCGCGTCGAACGCGTTTCCAGAGGGTTTGGAGCGCGTGTCGAAGATTCTCGCCCGCCGCGGCGCGTGCTCGAGACGCGAGGCGGAGCAGTTGATCGCCGATGGACGGGTGCGGGTGAACGGGACGGTGATCACCGAACAGGGCCATAAGTGCGATGTAAATTCGGACCGAGTGGAGATCACCTCGGACGGGAGCGCGTGGTTGAGCTCGAAGCTGACGCTCGCGGTGAACAAGCCTCCGGGTTTGGTGAGTAACCTTCCGAGCGCGGACGAAGTCGCGGCGTGTTCGATCGTGGAACCATCGAACGCGTGGATGCGATCGATGAAGTGGGTGGCGATGGATGATTTGCGACGGGCGACGAGCGATCCGTCGAGGTTTAACGTGTGTGGGAGATTGGACAAGGACTCGCGAGGTTTGCTGATTTTAACCGAAGACGGCGCGTTGGCGAGGAGCGTCATCGGTGGGAACGGCGTGGTGAAGCGCTACGTCGTAACCACGGACGCGGACGTGAGAGAATCGCACATGCAGTCGCTTAATGGAACAGTGATGCTGGATGGGGTGGAACTGTTACCGATGAACGTCAAGCGTCTCGGTCGCGGCTCGCGAACGCTCGAGTTCAATCTTCGCGAGGGCAAGAACAGACAGATTCGTCGCGTATGCGAAAAGTTTGGCCTGCGCGTGGTGGATCTACACCGCGTGCAGATCGGCGAGATCGATATCGGTGATTTACCCGAAGGAGCGTGGAGAATTCTGAGCGAGGACGAGGTGGCGTCGCTTCGAGACGCCGGACGATGAGAGTGCTTCATCAAAAGTTCAATATTGTTTTTGTATTAGAATGAGCTGTAGTCAATCGGTCAACGCGTATGCTCAGCCGAGCTCGTTGAACTTGGACTTATCTTTCGACGAACCCTTCTTCTTCGCTGCCTTTTCACGCGCCGCCGCCGCGACGGCGGCGGAACCGGTGAGCTTTTTCTTCTTCTTCGCCGCCGCTTGCTTCGCGAGTCGCGCGCGCGCCTCGGCGGGATCGACGAGTTCAACCGGCTCTGACGATTCTTCTGCGACCGGCGCGGCGGGCTCGGGCGCGGCGGATTCTTCCTTGTTCACACCCGCCTCCTTCGCCTTCTTCTTCTTCTTACGCCTCGCCTCCGCCTTGGCGGGATCGCTCGCGTCGCCGGCAACCGCATCCGCCAAACCGAGCTCCTTGAGGGCGTTTTCAAACTCCTCCTCCTCCAATCGAGCTTTTTCCTTCTTCGAGAGCACTTTTTCGCCCTCCTTCGCCGCTTGTGACTTGGATTCTTCCTTAACCGGCTCCTTCGCTTCCTCCGCCTCCTCGTCATCGCTCGGTAACTCGGCGAGCATGTCGTCCACGCCCGCGATCGCCAACGCGCTCTGCACCTGCGCCTCCACCTTTGCCCTCTGTCTCGCCTCCTCCTCCTCCCTCGCCTTCGTCTCAGCCGCCTCTCGCGCCTCACGCGCTTTCAACAACCGCTCTTCCTCCAATCGTCGCTCCTCTTCGTCCTCCTCCATCGCCGTCTCGTCGAAATCCGCCCACGACCCCGCGTGCGCGAGCGAGGGCAAATCCGGGAGCGCGCTCGGGGGCGTCCGCGTCGCCGTCGGGCTCGCCATCGTCGCCGGCGTCGATTTCGGCGGTGCGTACGTCGTCGCCGCCGCCGTCGCCGCCGTCGCCGTCGTCGTCGCCGTCGTCGTCGTCGTCGTCGTCGCCATCGTCGTCGTCCCCGCCGCCGTCCCCATCGTCGTCGTCCCCGCCGCCGCCGTCCCGCGCGCGTCGCCGTCGTCGCCGTCCCGAACGTCCCGACGCTTCGCGCCCGGGATGATGTTTCGGAGAAATCCAAACGGCATCGCGTCCGTCCGCCCGCGCGTCGCCCGCGTGTCGAGACCGCGCCCGTCGACGCCGCGGTCGAGGCGGGGGCGACGCGGGCGGACCGTCGGCGCGTCGGCGATCGCCCAGGGTGCGTCGTGTTCCTCAAGGGGTGAGACAAAGGGTCGTCGTGTTCTTTAAATGGTGCGCGAGACAAAGGGTCGTCGTATTCTTTATATGGTGTGAGACACAAAGGATCGTCGATTCTTTACAGGATGCGTGAGACAAAGGGTCGTCGTGTTCTTTACAGGATGCGTGAGACAAAGGGTCGTCGTGTTCTTTAAAGGATGAGACACAGCGTCGTCGTATTTAAACGGTGAGACACTCGGCGTCGTCGTGTTCTCGCGCACGCGCGCGTCGACGGCGCTCGGGCGCGACGGTCGATCGATTTCTCGATGCGCGCGTTCGCGACGACGACGTGAACGGCGCGGACGAGCGATAGCGCGCGCGGGCGATGACGCGCGAGGTCGACGCGGACGCGGACGTCGACCGGGCGCGCGCGACGACGACGACGACGACGACGACGAAAGCGCGCTGCGACACGCTCGCCGAACGGGTCGTTCGCACGCAGTTTGGTGTGGTGATGGATAAGGTGGACGACGCGCGAGGGGCGCGGGCGCAGGGTGAGGCGACGTTGATGGCGCTCGCGCACGCGTTCGCGCTCGTCGGGTGGTTCGGGTACGGGCGCGTGTCGCCGTCGTTGTGCGGCTACGCCGAGGTGGTGCCGAACGGCGTGGCGATGTTGTACTACACGAGCGCGGCGGGAACCGCGCGCAGCGCGCTGTGGGGGGCGATGATGGGCGCCAGGGCGGAGAGCGTTCGAGCGCTCAAGGCGGCGCGGGCGCTCGCGGGCGCCGTCCCGGCGCTCGCGTTGGTGGGATTGTCGGTGTTTCCGCGGTGCATGTTCACCCCGCATCAGGGATTCGTGGAGATTTGGGCGCACGCGACCGCGGTGGCGATGCTTTTCGAGCTCGCGGTGGATTCGAGATACGTCTCGAGACGGTTCAGAGGGGGCGCGACGGCGGTGTCGAGCGACCAGGCGTTGGCGCAGATCACATATTTGCTCGGGTACTTCATCATGGGCAAGTACTACACCATCGGTGGGAACGATTTCTATCGCGGCGAGGTCGTGGGATGCGCGAGCTACGGGTGGTGGGTCGTGAGCAAGCATCGCGCCGGGACGTTTCCGAACCAGACGGCCGCGCGGACGTACACGTGGAGAGAGCTCTTCCTCGAGGACGGTTTTATCGGCCTCCTGTGCCTCGCCGCGTATCGGTACAATCAATACTCGCACTGCGACGCCTTCGGGCAGTTTTGAACCGCCTCGCGGCGTCTTTCCTTGAACCGCGACTTGTATGCACTTCAAACCGCCGCGTCGCGGCTTCTTTCCTCGCGCCGCGACTCGCGCGCGCTTCAATCCGCCGCGGCCGAGCCGAGCGGCGCCGCGCGTCGAGCGCGCGTAGAGATCGCGTCGGAGCGCGCGTAGAGACCGCGTCGCCGACGACGGACGGTCGCGATCGCTCGACGCGCGCGGCGCGGGACGGATGAGCGCCCGGAGCTCGCGCACGCTCGCCGAGCGCGTCGTCCGGGCGCAGTTCGGCGTGGTCACGGATAAGGCGCACGACCCGTTGGGGATATGGGCGCAAGGTGAGGCTCTGTGCGAGTTGGTCTGGCACGCGTTCGCGCTTCTCGCGATGACGTTGTACACGGCGGAAAACGTGTCGCTGTGCGGACACCTCGAGGTGGTGCCGAACGCGCTCGCGACTTTGTACTTTATCGGTATCACGGCGTGCGCGCACAGCGCGCTGTGGGGGGCGATGATGGGCGCCAGGGCGGAGAGCGTTCGAGCGCTCAAGGCGGCGCGGGCGCTCGCGGGCGCCGTCCCGGCGCTCGCGTTGGTGGGATTGTCGGTGTTTCCGCGGTGCATGTGGCATCCGCATCAGGAGTTTGTCGTATTGTGGTCGAACGCGACCGCGCTGGCGATGCTTTTCGAGCTCGCGGTGGATTCGAAATACGTCTCGAGACGGTTCAGAGGCGGGACGGCGGTGACGTCGAGCGGCCAGGCGTTGGCGCAGGTCGCCTTTTTCGTCGGATACCTCATAACGATCAAGTACTACAGCGTCAACGGATTTGCATTCTTTCGAGGGGAGTTCCTGGGTTCGGCGAGCTACGGGTGGTGGTGCTTTAGCAAGCATCGCGCCGGGACGTTTCCGAACCAGACGGCTGCGCGGACGTACACGTGGCGCGAGCTATTCGTATTAGACGGATGTATCGGGGTCTTGTTCCTGACCGCCTATCGCTACAATGAGTATAAAGGATGCGATAAGTTTGGAAATGTATGACGACGCGCGCGCGCGCTGAGACATCCCATCACATTGTAATAATATGCGTTGATTCGTTCCGCCGCGCGTAAGTCAACGCCTCACTCCTTCATGTCGTTCGACGATCGACCGCGCTTCGACTCTTTCGCGAGCCGATGGCGTGGCACAGCGTTAGCAAAGTTTCTGGGAGTCGGATACGTGCACTCGACGACGAAGCCGAGTTCCTCGCCCGCGACGATGTGGAGAGAGAAGAGTCACGAGCTTCGTCGAGAGGTGAGGAATGCGAGGGCGCGAGCGAGCGCGACAGACGAGCGAACGACGGGTGTCAAAGAGATGGGCGAACGAGTTAGATTTATTTCACGTCCTCGAGCGCTTTCATCGCGTCCTTCGCAAGCGCGTAGGCGTTGTCCCACGTAACTTGAGCCTCGTTGGCCGCGTTCACCGCCGCGTTCGCTCGCGCGATGAGTTCTTCCCGTTCCGGACCCGTGGCGCTGGACGCCAAGTCCTGAAGAGATTTCGCTCGAGTGTTTGCGTCTTCTGCGAGCCTGTAGGCTTTCTTCGCCGCTTTCAAGAGCTTCTGCGCTCGTTTCTCAGCTTGCGCCTGTTTCGCCTTGACCGCGTCGATCTCGGCTTCTTTTCGCCGCGTCTCTTCTTCAGCTACCAATCGCTTGCGTTCAGCCTCTGCAGCCGCTAGAGCGCGCTGACGTTCGGCTTTAGCTTCTTCAGCAGCAACGCGCTGACGCTCTGCTTCTTCGACTTCAAGACGCTGACGTTCAGCCTCCTCAGCAGCGATCCTCTGACGCTCTACCTCTTCGGCGGCAATCCTCTGACGCTCTACCTCTTCGGCGGCGACGCGCTGACGCTCTACCTCTTCGGCGGCGATGCGCTGACGTTCAGCCTCCTCAGCAGCGATCCTCTGACGTTCAGCCTCCTCAGCAGCGATCCTCTGACGCTCTGCTTCCTCGGCGGCGATGCGCTGACGTTCAGCCTCCTCAGCAGCGATCCTCTGACGCTCTGCTTCCTCGGCAGCGATCCTCTGACGTTCAGCCTCCTCAGCAGCG